AAAAAAAAGCAAAAAGAGGATGGTGGTCCTCGAGCCCGGAGAGGTAGATTTTTCTTTCTCAGCGATCTGGTGGCTCGGAGGGGGCTGCTCGGCGGCCGCAGCGGCGTCCCGGGGCGCGGAGGTGGCAGCTGGAGGCGCGGCGGTGGGCCCGGCTCGGCTGGGGACGGTCCCTCCTGCCGCGGAGGCTGGGAGACCAGTGCGGAGGACGGCTCTCCACCCCTCTGCTCCCTTCCCCCGCGGCTCAGGGGTCGACGCCCGGCTGGGGAGGGGGCGGGCCGGACGCCTGCGATTGGCCGGGACAGCACCTGGGGCGCCCGGCGCCGCCGCCCCCCAGCTGTTGGGAACAGCTGCTTTGCTCCCCGAGCGCTGGGTCGCCGGGCTGGGGCTCTGGCGCTGGGGCAGGGCTGCAAACGGCCGGAGGCCGCCTGGCTCTCGGCTGTCGCCTGCCTGCTCGTTCCCGTCCAAGTCTCAGGGACCCTCGCGACCCCCGCAGGGACCCTGAGCGCCGAGAGTGCGCGGGAGGCGGGGGGACTGCCTGGCTCTCCAAAGCCGACCACGCGAGCCCTTCTCGCTAGGCCTCGGGGGGCGGAATCAGGGTCTTGGGAGTCCCCCGAGGCCTGGGGAGGTTAGTAGGGAAGCCGGCTCCCTCCCAGACACCTGGGACCAAGGAGATCAGCCAAAGGTACCTGACCGGGATACCACGGGGTCTGGAGAGTGAGAGGGGCCTCAACTTTGCTTGGACCCCCAAAAGCTGGCGCTGGTGAGAACCAAGAGGTAGACCAGAGGGGAATAAGAACAATAAAAAATAACAATAACACAACAACAACAAACTAGCATTTGGGTGTGCTTGGGAAAAACCTTGGCTTTAATAGCTCACAGCCAGCAAATACAGATCTGCCTCCCAGCGTAAATTAGTCCTGTGGCTCCCATAATCACCAGATTTTTGTTCTGTGCTAACTTTGTTACTCAGGAAGATGGGTACATCTTTTTTCTTTTTTTTCCCTTCCGTCCTCCCTTTCCTTCTTTCTCAAAGACTCTATTTCCTTGTATTTAAATTACAGACTAGTGACTTGACCTCATCTATTTTATCAGGATGTAACTGTGGAAAGCATAATTAAAAAAAAAATTAACCTATTATATAACCATTTATTTCTACCAGCGGATCCAGAAGGCGTCATAGAACGTATTAAACTCCACATATATTTATTAGTTTAAGACAACTTTTACTCAAGAAGGCTTTTAATTATTGAGGCTTTGAAAT